TTTGGTAGAAAATTTATTTGTTGTCTATTGTGTTCATACAGATTTCAGATAGTTTTGGTCCTGTGATAGAGCCCATACTAATCCCGTCTTTCTGGCGATAAAGTTTAACCTCAATTTTAAAGTAATTACTAAAATCTGTTAGTTGAATTAATTTATGAATCCACATTTTTATATCTAGCATTTGAGGTTTTCTTCTATTATTTTTTATTTTGTATTGGAGTAAATCGAAATAATATCAAGGCTTACTAATNCATTTGAGGTTTTCTTCTATTATTTTTTATTTTGTATTGGGATAAATCGAAATAATATCAAGGCTTACAAATTTAAATGAAAATTCAAATTTTATTTTTAATATTCTATTAATTAATTCATCTGTTGATGTCATTCTGTAGTCTGAGTATAGAATGTCAAATAGTTTTATGACCAGAGGGTCGGTACCTCTTTAGTGCCTCGTCAGGACTGACACACTGTCTTCTATGATAGACACAGAAACCTTAACGGCCGCAAATTCGGAACTAGCTCCAGCGGTTACGTGTGCGGGCGATCGGATTCGGGATGGCGGAGGATTGAGAGACAGATCGGAAGTGAATCACTCGGATACAAGGTTAACAACTAAAATAACCGATTTAATTCAACAAAAAACAATATATAACTCTACGCTGTCGAATAACAGTTGAGAGAGAGAGTTTACAAGAAACCCGCGAGTTGGTATAGATACCTTTGTTGCACTTAATTGTGTGGATTTCCGGATCGCTGACTTTCGGTTGGTCGTTCCGTCGGTTGGAGAGTTTTGGGAAGGCGTTAATTTTTCTTTTTCTTGGACAGCGGTCAAACCAATGGAAACCCGAAGGATATAATATTCCGGGGAGTTCGGAGTTCGAAGGTGTCAAAAAACACAGAGTATGAAATCATTGATAGCCTGGACAACGAAGATACCTCTTGTTTTTTCAGTGCATTTGATTGATGCTCTCGTAAACTCTCGACGACCCCTCGTCCTTGAGTCACTCTTTTTATACCTCCAAATCACGTTATTTTTTTTCACCAATCGGGAATTTTTTTTATTAGTTCCCAGTGAAACATTCGATGAGTTCCCTGGGAAAGGAAACGACTCCAGAGAGAGATGCGATCATTCTCCGGTAATAAAAATGGGAAAAGTGTTTCAAAAGACAAAAACGAATTTTCTCTCAAAATTTGTCAGGTCCAGTCTCTCATAGTTTCTTTTTATGGAAATGTTTTAACAAGTATGTTGTGTAATATAGAGTCCGGAAATCAACTAAAGGTCTGCATTTTTCTCCAGGTTTATGAGTCCTGAATCAGATTTTTGAATTAAGTGTTCTATGATATGACAGGTCTAATATAAACTGTTTTTCTTTTGCGTCTATCCATTTTTCTTTGTATTTTTTTACTTCTATATTCAAATTAGTAATTATTCCAGTTTGTGGATTTTGTGTTTTAATTCTATAAAATCTTTGTTTTCGACTATTTCCAAGTATTTACTTTTTTGCCACATATTATCGACCAAAAATAGTTATTTAGTTTCATGTGCTCTTATAACGGTTATTTTTTGTTTTGTGTGTTTGTTTTTTTGATTTTTAACTACGTTGTATTTTTTTAGAATAATCTTTTGCCTATTTGTCTGATATTAATATTCTTTTGTCTTTATTCTTATTCTTATTTTACTAGTATCTCTTTTAACAACATCCCCTATAAGTTGCTTTTTTCTTCTTTTTTACTGTTAAGTAAAATTATCGCTTTATCTTTTTCCGATTATTCCGATTATTAAGAATGTTTCTTTATGTATCGGAGCATTGAAAAATATTTCCAACCTTAACATATTTAGTATGCAATTCGGAGTTTATTATTAGTTTTATTCATGGTTAATTTACTGTTCCATTTTTTCTTTGCTTTAAAGTTGGGGATCGAAATAGCTTATGCAGTTTTATGATTTTTTTCTTTAATACGCTCCATTTTCTTTACTTTCAACGTTATTTCCTTTGTATATATTTTTTTGTCTTATCCTTAATACATGTCATTTTAATATTTGGTTTAAAATATGTTTTAATTATAAATTTACAAAACAAATTTTATGCTATGTAGACTGAGGAGGAATCAGTGAAAAAGTTGAATTCGAAATGCATTTAAGTAAAACATCTGGAAATTAAAATTGCTTCTGAGTAATTCTTCAAATCCAATAAACAGTCGAATTAGAAGGACAAAACAATTTGTTTAATAGTCCAAAAAACCCCTTTTAAGTGGTCAGCTAAACAATTTTTGTTTAGTTTTTGTGTTTTCTGATCAAATTACATAAAGTAAACGTAATAATCTGTTTTTCAATCGAAAAGTATTTTACACTGTCAGTTAGACAAAAAATGTAGAATTTACAAAGTAATTGTAGTTTTTGATGTGATGCTCATTGTTTTACAATTTTAGAAAGAAAAGTGGTGTCTATATTTCGCCATGTGACTGCAGTGCTATGTACAGTACATGCTTTTAACACTAAATTAAATAAAACACTTAATAATAAAACTAAAAGAATAGTACCATGAAATATTTAACTAACTACTTTTCTAAAATAAAAAATGATACACAGATTAAATAACTAAAATTATTATATTGATAAATACATCACAACTTTAGTACAGTATTTCAAAATTGAAAATTATGACTATACAATTTAAGTTTTAGTCCTTCTGTCTTCATTTATCCTTTTCATTCCAGTTCAAGACCCGCAAAACTGCCGGCGAATTGAAAAAAAAAAAACTTCAAAAAATAACAGACAAATACAATCCAAAAACCTCATGCACAATTAAAAATGATCTCGACGTCGACCTTTTCTTGTAGGCTACGACGTCTACAAACATTAAAAATCGGTAAAATTCTTCCCGACGGTATTCATGTTATATAATCGCATTAGTTTGTATTTTCAATACAAACTAATGCGATTATAAAACATGTCGCATTTTCAATTTTGAAATAAGTCAAAATAATCCTGGGCTTCTATGTACAATAAATTTAATAAGGGGACGTCCATAAATTACGTAAGGTATTTTGGGGTGGGTGGGGGTAAAGGATTTCTTACCATTTCTTACTCGGGTAGGGGGGTAATAGAGCTCGTCTTACCTTATATTCTTATTTTTATTTTTTGGTCTCGTTGAGTGGTGGCGTTTTGAATTTGGCTTCAATTTGGCGGTTTCTATTAAGAACGCTGTTGTCTCGTGTGATGTGATAGAGTAATAACGCTAGCAGATTCACGCTCTACACATTTTTTGTCATGGGGAAAGTCCGTGTGGTTTCTTTGTCTTGTTTGTTATTAGAATAAGTGCACCACTCCTGTTGATGTTTAACACTAAGAATACATAAGCTAAAATACACGATACAAAATAAACATAAAATTAGTATTCGGCTTTTAGTGAAAACTAAAATGTAAAACTAGAAATTAGAAATTATAAAGAGTCTTTTTTTCCATATTTTTTAACAGAATTGTAAAAAGCATCAAATAGTGGCTTCTGAACAAGCTTATCGAGTGGACATGGCCATTTGAAGCCAAGCGTAAAGATTTCTAATTTCAGAATAAGTGTATGTTAATTGTAAATTGAACAATGATAGATCACGTGGTTGACGGTGTCTAGGTTTTCTGTAGAGCAAAAGCAAGAAGCAGTTTCTGCCCGGTTATACATCTCCAGGTAGCTTCTAAAATTACCACGCTCAGTAAGTAGTTGAGCAGTAGCAAACGTTAAATTGCTAAGTAGTGATGAGAACCTACATTCAACACTAGGAAAATAAAATCGTGTTATTCTACAAGTTTTACTGCTACACTACTTTTACTGATTCCACTTTCTCATAGCGTTGTCATGAATATAATTTTTAAGGCTGTTATGTGAGACAGGGATGTGAGTGTAGTCCAAGTCAGTTTCCTTTGCAGCTGACTTAGCCTCAATGTTGGCGTTTTCATTTCTTAGTATGCCAGTATGGCCAAGAACAAATATAAAAATTATCTTATTTACAAGATTTTTAATATGGTGCTGGATATATGCAATTTTATTGCTATTGCAATTGTGATTTAATAGAGCTTTTAGGACAGACAAAATCACTATAAATGTTGACAGACAGAGTTTTGTTTCGTAGTGAAATGGCCCACTGAACAGCTTGGTAGTCAGTATCTTCTTCAGTTTGATAGATGGAGGTATGTGGGAGGTATCTGTACCTTCTAACATATTTTTGGCAAAATATGTAAGTTTGGAGGAAGATAGAGATACTTGAGCCGGCAAGAAGGGAGCTTTTGGACCCATCTGTGTAGATATTGATGCCTGCAAGATTATCCATGGAGGAAGCAGATGACACCGAATTACCTTGTTTACAGGATGATGATCAGATATAGTAGGGTAATTGCAATGTGGTAGCATATGAACAGTTGTAGATAGGAGTAGAGACCGTTATTGAGCCTTGACGTTTGTAGTTCTGATGTAGTAGTTTAGAATTTTTTCTACAATACATAGCGGCAAAGGAAGGAGCTCTGCTAGTATCAGAGAGGTTTGGTAAACAGTTCTGCAGCACTTTGAAACTCTGATGGCAAACTGGATTTGAAGAGAGAGTAATTTACTTGCTACTGAATTAATACTAGTTACATGACCACAGCCAGAGGCCGCGTAAAGTAGCATTGGTTGTATTTCCCCATTATATAGTGTTTTATAAGCTTTATTATTTAGTCCCCAGGTGCACCTAGCACATTTTAGCACAATCTTTCTATAAAATCATGCAAAATATTACGTAAGATAGGGAAGGGGCGGGGATCAAAGAAAATACTACGGTTTCTTACACAGGGGTGGGTGGGGTCTACAATGGCCGAAATCGCCCTTATGTAATTTATGGACTGCCCCAAATTTCATAAATTTAAAATATTTTCATCGTATATTTCTTTAATACTAAACACTAAATATAAATATTCGAATATTTTATTTACTAAATATGCTGAATTATTTCTCGTTAATATTCTTGTTTAGGTTGCAGATATTACTGGTTTTCCTCTAATTTTTCGAAGTGACATCCCAGTGGATTACACAGCAGCCATAGTGGTGAATCCTGTTAAATTTATTGTAGCAGAAAGAAAATTAAAATCTGATTGGAAAACTGTTATTCGACCTTTTGGTCTTCAGGTATGTTCGTGAGATATATATAAATCTTTGCTGTCCTGACCCGAGTTATCTCGGGCAAATTTAAATAATCGTTTTATGTAATTTAAATAATGGTTTTACGTAATTTTCATGTTTTCACTCTAGAATATTTTTCGTTTGTCTTTATGTCCATATTGGACGCGATATTTATTTTGGATCATTTAAGTTTCGTAACTTCTCGTTGCTCGGAAATAATTCGAGTAAAGCTTATTTACATTATACTGGATGTTGTTAATGTCCTCAGCAAGTTTTGTAATTTTACACCTAATAGAAATTTATTTTTGGACCATTTTTTTGGTCCCTATCTATAGAGTTAGTATATCGAATCGAAAATTTCGTGATGTGTTTGAGGATTTACGGTAAGTAATGCACATTTGTCTAGAAATCTGTCTTTCCCTGAGATTTGTATGAGAATATCTTGTGAAGGGCTATCAACAGCTGTTCCCAAGGACATCTAGCTCTGTACACCGAAATGCGGCGCGTATCACGTGATACGTTGCGATTTCTTGTTATCTGAAAGATAATTCGTTTCTAAATAATACGTAAAAAAGGAAATAAAGTTTTATGCTAAAATTTTTTAGAAATGTATTTCATAAATTAGTATAAGTTTTTTTAATTTTATTTAGGAGTTTTTCCTGTAAAGCACAAAAAAACGTTAGGTTAGCTTGGCATGTAATATAAGTAAGAAGAATGTAATATAAAAATTATTAGAAAATAACGAAATACATTTCAGCATTTACAGTAACTAGTTCGTGTAGAAAACTTACTCCCTGTCAAGCATTGTTGGGAAAAACCCGCGAAAGTTTACATTCAGCTGTTCTCAAGGTCATCCAGCTGTGTATCTGTACTGAAGCCTGTATCAAGTGTTTGTTTGGCAGTATTGTGTTATATGAAAAGTAATAAGTTTCTAAATAATATATAATAAAATAAATAACGTTTTATAATAAAATTTTTATAAATTTATTTTATAAAATAGTGTATTATAAATTATTCTGATTTTTTGTGAGAGTTTATTGTAAAGCTTTTTCTGTCAGGATATAAAGCTAGAAACTATTGATATTATAGTATAAGTATTATTGTGATATAAGAATTTTTTAGTATTTTGTGTAAAAATATACATATAAAAGCTTTTTTAATAAAAGTTCTTTGGAACACTTTCTTGCAAATATCAAGTCTTAGAGGAAAACATAAAATAACACGATTGTCTAGCCTATTTTTTTCTTATCTTTATATATCGATTGTTTTCTACAGATTGTTGAATATTTTGTTGCAATTAGTTTTTTCTTTTTTATTTTATTTTCATCTAAACACATTTGATCTAATTTTATTCATAAAACAGAAATTTACAATAATATTTACATGTTTCATTTTTGAAAAAAGCCATAAAATAAAAATAAATCAATGGGTTTTATTTCCAGATTTTATAATGTAAAGTAATATGTTGTCTTCTGTAGTAAACGAACTGCATCCCTCTAGAGCCTCAGGGTGTGAAATGTCTTTGTTTACAATATACTATTTCTTTCTTCATAACAAACTCCAGGGGGTAGAGTGGCTCAAGCAATGTAAGACAAATAAAACTTCTCTCTGATAATAAGCTAATGAAAAATATTCATATACAGAAATACAGTAGAACCTCGATTNTTTATAAAAACTCTGCATTCTTCTATCAAAAACACGATGTTTTGCAGGAAAAGCACTTTTACAGATGCAAGTATTGTTTCAAATGTGGTATCTTGCTTCAAATTCGCGCTACATTCAGTCTGTTTTTTGTTTTCTAGCAAAGTCATATTACAGTTTACCGTAGTTTTGTATTTTGTTTATCACGAATTTAAAATTATAATAAAATTTTAAATTTTCGAACAAAACAGAAAATAATATATTTATTTATATAAATTCGCTAAAATATCGTAGATTTATTAGTCACACACATCCTTTGTTTGAAAACAAAACAAACCACAGCCTTCTAGCTACAACAAAACAGAAAATAATATATTTATTTATATAAATTCGCTAAAATATCGTAGATTTATTAGTCACACACATCCTTTGTTTGAAAACAAAACAAACCACAACCTTCTAGCTACAGCAAGTGAGGAGATATTGCCATTAATTACACTACTTCTCTAATTACTCTCCTAGGAGGGGAGTGGATGAGTCATCAAGGATCGAAGTCAACACAAGTTTTCTTAGCGATAATATATAAGAAACATTATTTTTATATTATTTCGAAGATTTTTACAATAATCGACTATACTACACAATTTCACATGCGATTCTTTACATATTTTCTCATATTATATAACAGCGAGGAGAGGGGAAAGGTTCACTTTCCCAAATAATTTATAACTTCACAGTTCTAAAATAATGTTTACTAACCTAAATACTGTCAAAGAATAAATTAGCAAATTAGAGCTGAAAAAAACTATAGAAACAAGCAATTTTATAGCAATTGTTTACATATTTCAAAGATTGTAGCCCGGGAGTGATGGCACTTAGCAGAAATTTGAGCTTTAGTGTTTCACAGGTGAGTGATTCGTTGATCTAATATCAACATAGACAGAAAGTAACCAAATACAGTGTAAAATAAGTTGACTATCAATTTTATCAGCCAATAATCTGCTTCCTTGCCTCTAGTTGCTTTACAATGGAACAGGATGGTATTTCGCGAAATATTTATGGCCCGTAGGTGGTGACAAAACATTTATTGGTTAATACAGTCAAAAGACACATACAAGAAAGCAAATCAAAGCTTAGATCGCAACAGACTTGATTACAGTTTGTACAAAACAACACCTTTCCATGTTATATCTATGGAACACTCTTCTTTTGTTTATTGAATGAAACAAACCTTTCTTCACATGCCTGTTGAGATGTAATTGGTATATTATAGCTAATTGACTATACTTTAACGAATAAACATCGACTCGGGTTTGTGGGGTGGGAATTTTCATGCAAAAAGCCATGCCTTCTAAGAGATACTTTGTCAGCTACAAAAATATACAAACAATCATAAATCATTATTCTCATTTATTTTTACCTGAGTTCAGTAAATTTATATGTATATTCATACTGTTTTACGTTTATAAACGTTTTTTTAGAATCATCCAGCCATAAGTCTTTCTAAAAACAAAATACTTCCGGATTATTATGGTACTTCCGCAAAAAATAATGCATATATTATACTTCATTTAATAAGATGATAATCGTTTATTATAGTGCTCTGTTATTATAATAGTATAAATAACATAAACAAAATCAAGTATACACCATCGATACACAAAAGTGTGTTGACCTAGATTTACAAAATTCAACCCCCCCAAACCAGTTGCGTTGTAAACTTTAGGCCATATTCTGTCTCCACGTTGGTTTAGAAGGCTGTAGTTTTTTTTTTTGAGAAGATAGACCTGTCTACGTAACATATAACAGATTGATCGAATGTTTATACAAAAAAGTTTTTTGATTTTTTCAAATCTTGAATTTTATAAATTTTTGTAAACATATATACGTTATAGCCAACAATCATAAATGGTGATATGTTTTTCATATTTCTGTAAAATTATTTACATATAAAAGCATTTAGAAAGAACTTCCAAACACTTTCATGTAATTATCAATTCTCTGATGAAGAACTTGTAATAAAAATTTGCTAAATAGACATTTGTAATGTTTGTACAAATGTTTCCAATACTGGGGTTCTCAAATCTTACAATTTATGACTGCAATAAATAATGTCAGATGTTTGTTCTTAGAATTTCTGTCTTTTTGTTCTTCTTTCGAATGCTTCGAAAAATTCTCATTCATTGTCTTGCTCTTCAGTAGACACGTTTTCCTTTGGTTCTAGTGTGCTTTTAGAAATACTAGCACTCAGGCACTGTTAGGAACATCCCGCAAACATCGACAAACAGCTGATTTCAAGGCCATCCAGCTGTGTATATGTACTACAGTCTCTGTCAAGTGTCCTGTTGGCACTTTAGTATATAAGAATAAGTTTTAAATAAGTTTAATAATAAGTTTTTAAATAATACATAATAAAATNATATGTATATTCATACTGTTTTACGTTTATAAACGTTTTTTTAGAATCATCCAGCCATAAGTCTTTCTAAAAACAAAATACTTCCGGATTATTATGGTACTTCCGCAAAAAATAATGCATATATTATACTTCATTTAATAAGATGATAATCGTTTATTATAGTGCTCTGTTATTATAATAGTATAAATAACATAAACAAAATCAAGTATACACCATCGATACACAAAAGTGTGTTGACCTAGATTTACAAAATTCAACCCCCCCAAACCAGTTGCGTTGTAAACTTTAGGCCATATTCTGTCTCCACGTTGGTTTAGAAGGCTGTAGTTTTTTTTTTTGAGAAGATAGACCTGTCTACGTAACATATAACAGATTGATCGAATGTTTATACAAAAAAGTTTTTTGATTTTTTCAAATCTTGAATTTTATAAATTTTTGTAAACATATATACGTTATAGCCAACAATCATAAATGGTGATATGTTTTTCATATTTCTGTAAAATTATTTACATATAAAAGCATTTAGAAAGAACTTCCAAACACTTTCATGTAATTATCAATTCTCTGATGAAGAACTTGTAATAAAAATTTGCTAAATAGACATTTGTAATGTTTGTACAAATGTTTCCAATACTGGGGTTCTCAAATCTTACAATTTATGACTGCAATAAATAATGTCAGATGTTTGTTCTTAGAATTTCTGTCTTTTTGTTCTTCTTTCGAATGCTTCGAAAAATTCTCATTCATTGTCTTGCTCTTCAGTAGACACGTTTTCCTTTGGTTCTAGTGTGCTTTTAGAAATACTAGCACTCAGGCACTGTTAGGAACATCCCGCAAACATCGACAAACAGCTGATTTCAAGGCCATCCAGCTGTGTATATGTACTACAGTCTCTGTCAAGTGTCCTGTTGGCACTTTAGTATATAAGAATAAGTTTTAAATAAGTTTAATAATAAGTTTTTAAATAATACATAATAAAATAAATAAAGTTTTTTATACATAATAAAATAAAGTTTTAGAAAAGTATTTCTAAAACTTTTAGAAATACATTTCTGAAAGTTTTATAAAATTTTTAGAAATGTATTTTATTATTGTTTTCTATATTTAGTACATTCATATATTCAGTACATTCAGGTTTGATTTTATAACATTGTATTTTATAATTATTTTTCATTATTCTTATTACTTGTAATCATTTAAAACAAGTTTGTATGTCAATAAATTTATTTTAGTTTATGTTTTGTCAAGTTTTCGTTTCTAAATTATTTTTAAGCTAACTTACGAATGGCAGCTTTTCAGCACTAAAGCTAGGCATGCAGAGAAGCCATCTTTCAGGCCCATGTAAAGTTCGCATCCAAAGGGAAAGGTGCCATTTAGGAACCAATTTTGGCAAATTGAAAATAATCGAATAAAACTTTTTTTCAAATAAAATAGATGTTTTCTTTTAAATAATAATAAAGGATTTTTTATCCGAAGCCATTCTTTTTAATAATTTATACATTAAGTGGTTAACATCATTAATAGCAATTGGAAATTCTAACTTTTCATAAAGAAACCATTTAATATGCCATTATAATAAATACGACTGTTTTCGAGCTCATGCTTGAGCTATACCAATCGTTCATAAATGTAATAAAATACTATCTTTAAAGCGAAAAATCATATTTGTTGAACTGAGAAACTCTGCCTAAAAAGCGTAAAGTTTATTAATGTCTGCGCTTTTACTTATGGGGAAATCGCAAAGAAAACAGAGCACTGGGATATTTGCCGATTTCTATTCAGATTTAAAAACAATACTTACATCAAACAAATGAAATATTTTACGTGATGCAAATAAACTGTAGAATATATGTTTTCTTTGATCTCGTAAGTAAAATTTTCAAACATGCTTTCAAAAGTAAATAGAATGTGAAATTATGGACTGACTAGCAATCATGAAATAGATGAAAGCTCCTTCTCTCTCTATTTTGAAATAATTAATTTTACATTGTGCTAAAAGGTTTTGTGCTATTTTTGGGTGTATTAGTGTATTGTTAAAACAGATTTATATGAAGTTTTCAATTAGTTTACTCTGTATACAGTATTTATATAATATTATTTATTTTTCTACATATTTTTCTAATGTCATTTATATCATTTTTTTATTTGTGTAACGAACTGAAATTTGTATCGAGAAGAACGTTATAAACCCCAAAACACATGTAGACAAACGTTCGAATATTATAATCTTTTCAAAGTATAGTTTTAAACTTTTATAATACGTTTCTCGTTCTAATTTTTAGCTATAAAATTACCGAACGCTCAATTAAACATTACTTGCTTGGAGTAGATTGTTTTTATAGTAAAGAAGTAGGGGATATGTCCGTTCAGATAAGCGCTTCGATAAATACTTAAATCCTGAAATTTTATTCATTATTAGTCCAAGAAACAACATGTAGTAAATTAAATTAATTATTTAATTTAATTAATAGAAATAATAATCATTATTGTGTACAAGTGTGTGCCAAAAAAAGATTTTGTTGAATCTGTAAAACATGCAAAACATCAATCACTAAAGAGAAACATTGGAAGTTAAGTAAGGTAGATAACATCTGACAGATTAATACGAATTTAGCTTGAATTTGATAGTGATAGTGATAGTGAGAGAAAGAAATGGCGTACCCAGGGGTGTTGCCACTGACAAAGGGGGTGATAGAGAGGGTGAGAGAATGATAGGGGGAAGGGAATGGGTTGGGAAGGGTGGGGGAGAGAAAAGGGGAGAGAAAGGAGAGAACTGTAGAGTGTTAGGCTGGGACCGAGTAATTGAGATCCTGAAAAAATAGAGTGGTGCGTGCAGTACAAATAAGCGTGTAGTAAACAGAGAAGAGTATGCTCTGAAAAGTAACATTTGTACGATTAATAACAGATATCCGCCACGAAGAACAGAATTGATATGCGGGGGCGGATTGGTGAGGGACACAATGGGGCTAGCCCCTATAATGTTAGCAGTAATAAGTCTGACAACTAGGTTATGGCTCTACGTCCATTGTAAAAGTTCATTAATGGTAGATGCTCACAGAAGTTTTTTAGTCCATGGAAGATCCGTGTTGAGGAGAGGAGGACACTGAAGTTGCAGGGCCAATGATGACCTTCTACTACACTACGCAGATTTCCGCGGTAGGAGGTGTACTTAGGGCAGGTGAATAAGATGTGGAATGGATCCTCTTCTTCTACGATGTCACAGTTGCAATCACCATTTCCTTTCTTGAGGAAACGATTAAAGTACGCCCGGAAGTTCCCGTGCGCCATGATAAGCTGGGTGATGGCATGGTTTGTGTGGAAGAAGGATAAGTTAAGACGTGTGCTGATACTTGGGAGAAATTTGTACGTATGTCGGCCAGTGGTGCTACTATCCCGCTCTTTTTGCCAGATAGTGATGAGTAGTTTGTGCAGTTCTCTGTGTATGGTAGAGAGAGGGATAGCCTCATAAGCATAGGTATCAGCTATCTTGTGAGCATTCTTAGCCAGCCTGTCGGCCCTTTCATTACCTGGATTTCCAGAGTGACCCTGAACTTAGTAGAAATTGATGTAGGCTGAGTTATTGATTTCATTAAGGTGGTTGAGACTATTGTCAATGATTGGCAGTTTTTGGTTCCGATTCTTTATCTTGTGGAGTGCCACACGACTGTCTGTGATGATGTTGACAGTTTTTCCAGAGAAGCAGGAGATATTTTGTTTGATCTACTTCATGGTGGCAAGGATGGCCAGGGATTCTGCCTGGTTGTTAGAGTACTGGTTGCGCAAGCGAAGAGCAGCTTGCCAATGATGTTTCTTAGTGCTATCAATCAGGCAAGCAGAAGCACCCACAGCATCCTTGGTTTTTGAGTCATCAGTGAAGAAATTTAGCCCAGTAAGTGAGGGTGGCAAATTAAAGTACAGTCGACCCCCTATAATTACGGTCCCTATAATTACGATTCCTATAAAACTACGAAAAAATATACGTATTTTGGAAATGTTGAGTCGGATTAGTGTAGAATCGATTAATTTTATGGAAGAAAACCTTTCAATCAGCCGTAGTCCGTAAACTTGACACGTGTCGGGCTGTGATTGGAACGACTTGTAAGAAATCGGATTCCTAATAAATTGGAACGTATCTATATCTTATAGGGGGGTCGACTGTAGATCCTATTGGTGGGAGAAATTGCTGAGTGGAGCCAGTTGATATTGCAGTTGAGGTCTATCCCGTAGTTAGAAATGTCATCAATCAATTTGCTGAAAGAGTCAGGGAGTTGCATTTTGGAGATCAACTTTCTTAGTTCAGATTTGGTGATGTTACGAAAATGAAGTTTCATAAGTAAATTCATTAGATACCTTGTAAGAATTACCAGGTGTATAGGAAGGAGCCCAGCGATGACAAGGAGGGCATTGGTTGGAGCGGTCCTATAACATTTGGTGACAGCAATCGCAGCTTTACGCTGAGCGGAGAGCAGTTTCCGTCTGATATGAATGTTGTTGACTGCGTAGTCCCACTCCTCGCTTCCATATGTTAAAATCGGTTCGATTGCACCTGTATAGATGAGTTGGCTGGTCCAGTGATCAAGCCCCCAGTAGTTCCGGACTATACTCCTGAGGGAGTGGCGCTTGAATTTGAGAAACGTATCCGTAAATGCTTAGAAAGAAATAATCAACAACCTCTGTGAAATTTTGCATATAAAATCACATCCTTTTGCAAGATGCTAAATTATATCTTTTGTATTTTTACTTCCGGTTCACTCCATTTATTTATTTTTATTTATTTTGGAAAGATTGAGTTGTATGTAATTAATGACAATGCATGAACTTGGATTATATAGAGAATTAATTGAAACATAATGTTTCAATTGGTAAGCAAAACGTCTTTGTTTTTCCAAAATTTATGAAATTATTCTTATCATTGATTGATTATCCGAATATGTAATAATATAATTGTCATAAATACTTTTATATTATTTCTTATAATGTATTTTTATATTTATTTATAAACGTATAATTCATTTTTTAAGAAAATAAACTTCAAATTTGAATTTCTGTATTTATTTTAAACTGAATCTAAAACAGTTATATAAACACGGGACATAAGGTAATCACCGTGGATAGACTGTAAAATATTTACTGTAGTATTAGCTATAATTTAAAATAGATCTGTTTATTAGATCTTAGAAATCAGGAATAAGTTATCATTCAATTCTTGAGGTGTGTATGATATCAAACAGGATACATTACATCGTGATCTGACAAAGATGTTTTGAAAAAGTGGTGCTTATCATTGGAATAATTATGGTAACATTTACAGAACAAAGCAAGCTATCATTATTACTTAATTGATAAAAATTGCAAGTTTATTTAGATTTTCTATATCTCTTGAAATTATGATGTAAATATTTGAAATTCGTATTTCTAAAATAACGTCCTAATACTCAACGGTAATATTGATATAAGTTGATTTTTTTCATATGTAAAAATTTATATCAATATATTAGCTTTGGATTGCCCTGGGAGTTTCGATGGTGCTTCTTGGAATCATCTTACCGAAGTTAATAAACTATGGACAAAATATAAAGAAAACCAGAAACTTTTGGACAATACAGAGAGCTATGTTGTTCCTGATTGCATCATGTTCCATGCAAGGTTTGTATGAAAATATGCCAAGTTTACTTTTGTGATTATCCATATGAATACATTAATGTTTTTTCAACAATTTTTAGGAACTAATTTGAGCGATACAACAGGTTGTTCTTCAAGATTATCTATCGGAGTTTGCCTCTTTTCAACCTCTGTATTAGGATTTGGTTATGCTGGAACATTAATTTCGTTTCTGACTACACCTTGTTATGAACCGGCTCCAAAAACCATAAATGAATTAGCCACTGCCGTGAAACTCGGAGAATATTTCTGTGGTACATTTTCACGGAGTGCAATTTCCTCATATTTAAAAGTTAAGCAAATTCATGATATAATATCCAAAGTTTATTTTTGAAATTTTGCAACCTATATTAAAATATTAGTCGTACATTAGCTTATAGGGGAGACCGGGGAAAGATCGGCATGTTAAGCTTTACTTAAATTTTGTGTAATAAATACTGCTGTAAACTGAAAAAAAAGCTTTGCATATTGTCTATTGGAATGTTACCTTACTATAGAACTGGTTAAAATCAGTTTGGAAATAAAAATAATTAAAATAATTACAACTTTACAAGAAGAGAGAAATTGACGAAGTTGCCCCGGGTATAGGGGCAAGATCGGCAACTTCTCTCTTTTTGTAAAGTTGTAATTATTTTAATTATTTTTATTAAAGTTGCCCCTGGTATAGGGGCAACAGTAATGGGGCAAGATAGGCACGTATATAAAATTATGTTATTAACAATGTATAAGTTGGAATTCACTATTAAAACAAAGAAATACAAATCCAACACCCATTTAATATTATTACAACGAAATGCAAGTTCAAAGACATATATACATGAATAACAAATGCAAACATGTTTTCATTTATCATCTGTTTGATTTTTATCCTTTGCTTCTAATGTGGCTTTATGTTGCCGATCTTACCCCGCTAGTCATGATTTCGAAACATTAAGTACAACCCTGAGAACAGAATGCCAAGCCACGATCTGGCCACGTGAATAAGTTGAAGTTACATCCTTCTAACAGGAAAAGTAACTTTCGTTATCATGGAATTATAACAAAACCTGCCAATTCAATATAAATGGAAAAAAAATATTATATGGAATTGAACGAAAATGAAAATTTGCTTGATAATTCAACTACGCTTGTTGAAGAACAATAAAAACACTACACTCAACAAGCCACCAATAAAACTCAACTGCCTAACCTGTAACCAAAGTCTCCTTTTAATTTGTTTTTAAAAAAAAGCGCTTGACAAATTTGCCCCGCATGCCGAAGTTGCCCCGGTCTCCCTTATACTATAAACTGCTGAAAATATAATTATAAAATATATAATTTAGTATAGATTGTAATAGAGAATATTATCCATTCTTACAGTATATGAAATATTATCAAATGTAAAGGAAACAATGTAATGGGAAACCTAGTAAAATTTTTATAAGTTATTTTCTGAAAATATGACTGAAACTTAAAAGGAAATACTGTACTTATTTTAATATAAATGCTATTAATTCTATTTTAATTTCTTAAAGTTGAAAGCCGCAGACTTCATATGAAAATTTTGTTGTTCAAACTTCAAAATATATTTCTACTTCTATCAATGTTGATCATGATTTACAAATTATACAATTTTAACTTTTTTTGTCAAAATTATGAAATGAAATTTATTCTGTAATAGGTATAGGAATACAGTAATTAGATATAAATTACGATTTCATTTTTCACTTTATTGATGTTCTGGTGATTTTTATTGCTCCATAAATTTTAAATTTGAACTCATTTATTTTCGATTAAAAGTTCACAATTGTAATATCAAAAGCGCTCAGCAACTAAATAAAAAGAAACAAAACACCTTTTTTGCCGAGAAATAAATATAATTTTAAAAACAAACGTTTTCAGCCTAGTTAATAGGTCATCTTCAGGTCGAAAACTAAAATGGAACGTAAATGTTCCGCGAATAGAATATAAAAATTTTTAAATCAAAAATTTTACAAGAGAAAAAATAACGGAAGAATATATAAAAATTAACATAAAACAATAAAACAAAAATAACATAAATCTTCAATGTACTAATTCTGGTCGAAGTTTCTAGTAAGTTTCTTAACCAAATATTTCCATGCCGAAGGAAGGCTCTCCAAGTTTTTTTTTTTACTGTGCCCCTTTCATACTTCTTAAGCATTCCTACAATTATACTTTTTCTGTAACCCAGGGTCCGGGCCACCTGCAATACTCTATCAATCTCCTTCTACCTGTCAGCGACTCGGTCACAATATAAATAAGCTCTCCTTATTAACGCTCGGAAGGCTGCCATCTTGATAGAGTATTGCAGGTGGCCCGGACCCTGGGTTACAGAAAAAGTATAATTGTAGGAATGCTTAAGAAGTATGAAAGGGGCACAGTAAAAAGAACTTTAAGGAATGTTCCTACTAGGCTCACAAAATTTACTTATAATAGTAGTATGAATAGTGTTATGAAAAAAATTGCTAGTCGAAAGGAATCAAGAATGGTTTTAAGAAGAGCCCCTAATTTGTATAAAATCTTGATAAATGATAAGAATAACATCAAAGCGGAGGAGAAAGCAGGGGTGTATAAGATTCCTTATGAGAACTTACAACTGGATGTTAAAAATGATTATATCGGCGTCACCACCAGAAACTTGGGAGTAAGACTCAAAGAACGTAGATATGCCATACGAAAAGCATCTAATTCAACGATATTGTCACAAATGGCGCAAGCGCAAGGCTCTGAAATAAAATGGGACGAGGCAACAATCATCAAACCTCTGTCTTCCCCAACTCTAGCAATGACGGCGGAGAAAATAGAAATATACAGAAGTAAGATAGGAGAAGGCTGTTTAAATGCGTGGGATGCGGAGAGCCTTCCTTCGGCATGGAAATATTTGGTTAAGAAACTTACTAGAAACTTCGACCAGAATTAGTACATTGAAGATTTATGTTATTTTTGTTTTATTGTTTTATGTTAATTTTTATATATTCTTCCGTCATTTTTTCTCTTGTAAAATTTTTGATTTAAAAATGTTTATATTCTATTCGTGGAACATTTACGTTCCATTTTAGTTTTCGACCTAAAGATGGCCTATTAACTAGGCTGAAAACGTTTGTTTTTAAAATTATATTTATTTTTCGGCAAAATAGGTGTTTTGTTCACAATTGTAAATGAGATATTTTTCTAAATGAAATCTTGTAACGAATTTTAGTTAATCAAACTAAGAATACTGCAGCTTTTATTTTTCTCTTACGATTTTGACGAACGTTTTACACCCCCAAGATAATTCATTTTGTTAAATTACTTTATTTGTTTTGTTTTATTTTTTTTACTTTAATACAGTCAAACCCTGAGATTGGAAATTAACTCAATTCTAACAGTTGTTTTGAAACCGATTTATACTAATAACGGAATCAATGTTCCGTTATTAGAATCTTTTATTAGAACGGGGTATCTACTGTAATAATATATAATACTAGCTGCAAGGACCCGCTTCGCTGGGTTTTTATTTGTATGTAATATAGTTTTTTTTATATATATAAAAGACTGTTTTTCTAAGTAATCTAGAAACTAGCTGCAAGGACCCGCTTCGCTGGGCAAAAAGTAACGATAGTGAAGATTAAGATAATTACATTATAGCTAATCTTACCCGTTTTCACAGAATGCAAGAATTAGGTCCCCCGTTTCCAGACTAATTAGAGAATTTTTACGTTTAGTCAAACGAACTATTTTCAACGTTTCTGGAACGTTTACAATCGTTCTATAATCGAACCAATATTCGAATTTTATGTTCGAATTTAATTCGAACAAATTCGAACAAAACATTCGAAATAGAAAGCCACTTTCAACCACTTTCAGCCTCATATCTCCCGCACCCTTATAGCTATCGAGACGCAACCACCCCTATGCACGAATGGAGACTTGTGGCTACCACCACATACAAACACCATTCACGTGCGATGTGTAGTTTTGGCGAAAAAGTGAAATATAGGGACATACATGTCCATTTATATATATGTATATAGATTATATTAATAATTTTTTTATTTAATTTAATTTAAACACGAATTCTTGAATGCCATTTATACTGCATAAAATCAAATTAACGCAGTTTTTATTATTTAATTTTTTTAGATTCGACTTTCTCGCTTACCGAAAGAGGAAATAGTATTTTTCCCGCACGCGCGTTAAAATCTAATTTAAATAGCAACGTCATCGATAATTCGTATCGCAACATATAGTAACACGAGGCGATCTCGGTGTCACTAACTTTAGAATCGGTAGTCTTTTCGCTGATTTGTCGAGCCATCGACTTTATCATAGGCAGAGTAGCTTGTCCTGCAACCGATTTTTCGTACGGTAACCGGAGTCAAATATAAGTTTAAAATTTTGTTCGTGAACCAAATTGTACAGAAAGCGCGGCGTTTGAGTCTGAGGCTTAACTGAAATTCACTATTTACCACAAGAAATGAAAACTATATAATCCATGTAGAAAACAGTATTAATGTGTATAGAAGTGTTGTTTAAATATTACAGTTTTGCAAAGTTATAATAATTATGGTTAATTTCATATATTTTGTTTCAGGGGAAAAAATCAACTGATACAGAAATATTAATAGACTACATGGAGAGAAATCCTGATAAGTTAACTCGATATGCATCAGTTATAGCTTCAAAAATGAAAAATGAACGTTACGCTTTCATTTCGCCAGAGATATTTTCAAGAGGAAGAATTATGCCGTTATTTCAAGGCAAATTGTCACTGAGTGTAGATAATTTTAAGACCATTCTATCAGGATATTTGCTAAGAAAAGATTTTCCATACAAAAGAACAACTAAGAAAATGTAAGAACATAAAATTAATTTTAATTTTCGCTTTTACAATTGTATAACAGATATACTCTGATTGTATTATACGTTTTTTATTACAGCATAACTCGTTTATTTGAGGTTGGAATAGTACAACGTATAATAAGAAAAGAGTGTTATAGTCAGCATGAAGATAAGGATAAAGTTCACCCTTTAAAGTTAGAAGAACTTGCAGGAAGTTTCGTTGTTCTTGTTATTGGATATATATTATCTTTTCTTTCCTTTATTGGCGAATTGATAACTGGATATTACGCTAAGTCAAAAAGATTTTAATCAATGATAATTTATAATATGTAGATTTATCTTCTGGAATTTGTAGTATTTAAATTTTGTATTTAGTACAGCGTTTCACAAGAAAAATTATTTCTTTTTACTGGGGAGTACCGATTCTTTCCTTATTTCAATTTTGATTGATGTTATATTATAAATGTCTCATTTCTGTTCCGGAAAGTAGGAAAAAAACTTTAGTAATTATAACACATTGAATATATTTTCTACATTTCTTAATATAAAAATTTATATTTAATCATATTTTCATTGATGTGCAATAAAAATTTTCAAAACTTTTCGTCCAAATACAAACTCTTATATTAAACAAACTTATTAAAAATGTAAATTAATAACTCTTGTATTTTTTAAAATATAATGTAAATTTTCTAAACTTTCGCTGCACCAAATGTAAAAAAAAAATTCAAATTTTTTGTCTGTAACATTGAACTTTAGAATTTCATATTACTTGAAATAATACTGTTTTCTGATTTTTTAAGAAATTTAATATTGAAATACATTTGATCTTGGCTATTTCAAACATCTTTAGCACGAAAACCTATTTATCTTAGAATTTATATCTTTCTCTGCATTTTCAGCGTAAATTTTTACATTTTTCATAATTAAATCAAATAAACTTTTTCGGATATCTGTACAACTAAAATTATGGAGTGAAGTTGGAATATTATTGCTTGGTGACTTTTTGATAGCGTCAATTGTAAATGAGAAACATCTTTTTTAATACAGTAACCAATTGCGTTTAATTAACGCTGTTTTTCTCTGACTGGCACGTTGTTTGATTTGATGAATTTGTTTATAGTGATATGATATTTGGGTGATATGTCGACAGGTTGTGTTCCAGGAGGACTTTATATATAAAAGTGGCACCTGTTTAGGTGTTACAAACGTAAAGTAAACCCGAAAAATTCCACGTGGCCAGCTAGTTGACAAGGTGAAAATAATGGAAAACTAGTTTTTGTAATTTTATCCTTGTTGCCACTGATGGGCTTGCTTTTCATTGACTGAAAAAAGTCAGGAATTAAAAATAATTTATGAATCATTTTTGATAACATATGTGAAAAAAGTTTAAATAATTTAATGCTTCAAACATGTATGTACTCTACTTTCTATTGTACTAATAAAAACACTCTTTAATCAAACAAACCTGTTACTGTTTACTGTATAAGAATCTGTACTTCTTGAAACCTGTCTATCTAGAATTTTTTGATATCCCCATGAGATTCAAGATAGATAAGTTCAACTGAAACTGAATACACTTTCTAATTGTATATTTTTCTCTACTTAGTTGCTTTTACGCTGTGTGACATCAATTTTGTGTTATTGTGTTAGAAAAGAAGCACGTGCATGACTGTATCACATGTTTCTGTTTTAATAGACACATTCGAATACAACTGGTTTCTTGTTATTTGATTTTATGCATTTTGAAAGTTATTTTTTAAAGAGCATTAAATCAAAGAGCTTAAGTGTTTTTATACTGTAATATTCTTCATACCTTCTCTGATGCAACTTTCTGTTTGTGAACAAGTACAGAGATGCTTCGATTTTATATTTGCACTTCTTTTTTCCAAATCCTCTCTTTACAATAGAATGACTACTTTGTGCCCTATACAGGCCAAGAATACAAGTAAAATCTGTCAATAGTGATTTTTCAGAATAGAACTCTCAGCTGTCTCCAAGAAATGCCAAATATGGAGAGATACAAACGTATGATAAGGTATGGAATGAGTGTACAAGATATTATATACTGCGGCCCAGGATAGGAATGTAGGAATACATTATAAAGCCTATAAATCTGTCGTGTGTAAAAGAAGAGCTCCAAGTTACAGGAAAAGCTATAATTGCTATTTGGTCTCATCAGTCTGCGTTGAATCAAAACGCGATTCTAACTTTCCAAATCTGTATTTAGTCTTAATTGCAAAAATCTCTCAACAAACGTACGAAAAAAATGGAGTAAATATGAACACCCGCCTTATATTCAGTCTAAGTGTTTTATTCACAAAACTGAAGACAAAATGATTCCCAAGATGCTGCCACTAATGTCAGCGTTAATCCCGAGCCCCGCCTGATGATTTTTTATCGTATCATCAAGAACGTTTCAAATATGATGGAGTAGATTATTTTTTCCAGTCAACATGTTTGTATTCTATAAGAAAAAACTTATATTACGATATATTTTATTACAAGTTAAAAATTTTTTAAAATATTATTTAATTATTACAATTATATTCAATAAGATTTTTTGGCAAGGATATGTTTTATTACAAAGACTGTGTGATAAGTAAATTTTAGAATTTTGTTTTCTTTTTGTATAATTTTAAATATCCATATTAGTTTAAAATAATAATTATCATTTTTTAAAATTTTCAGTGGAAGTAGACAGAAAAAAAATTAGAAATTGACAACTGTCAATATATTTAAAATAATCTAAAGTTATTTTTTTTCGAAAATCGAATGCATATCATTACTTAACAATTATGACAAAAAATGTCTCCATAACGATTTATTTCATTCAATAAAATAAAAAATGATTGACAACATCTTTACCACGTTGTGAGAATGAAATTCAGCAATTGCTTTTTCTTTACTTGGAGTAGAAACTCTTGATATTTATAATTACAGCATACATCAGCATGTTTTTTTAAAACATTTTTTTACAAAATTTTTGTATTCCATATTTTTCTGACATTATTTCGTTAAAGTTTCTAATTAATGAAAATATTAAAAATTAAAAATAAGGTTCCTATCTTCACACATGTATTTCTTAAGTATAGTTTTTAAATCTAGAAGAACTTTCGCTGAATGAGAAGCAGTTAAAATTCCCTGTATATTTATACAAATATTATAGCTAAAAATAGAGTTATAAATACGCTGACAGTTAGAAGTAATTTAAAAAACATCTAAACCTGACCCTTGTAAGTACAAATTAAACGATATCTAAAGGGGGAAAAAGACTTAACCTACATATTTCTCTGATATACAGTTGTAGCTGAATGTAGAGTAACCCTTGATATATGTTTTAAAAATGCGACATCTATTTTGTTTACCACCTACTACATAATAGTACTTGTGGTTTGGGCCATACTAATTACAAATCTTAATTAACTTAATTTTATTATAACAATAATGCAAAGTTTAATATATTCCATTTAATTATAATTATAAACTTTATTAGCAAGAAAGGAAAATTTCCCTGTTGCAGGGGGTAATACATACGTTAAGTCTGAATTCACAAGCGTATTGAAATAGTTTTTTAAATTATTAAACTTATACAATTATTTTACAGTATATTCCATATAAACTTGTTTTAAACATATGCAAAAGAAACAGTTTATCAGAAGTATCAATACAGATATTACATTAATACAGATACAATATTAATACTGTGAGATGCGAATCACCCCTGAACTAACAATTTAATTAAAAAGTTAAATTTTTGACGAAAAATATTCTTTGATTTTGGTGAGAAAATTGTTTTTCTAAACGACGGAAACAGGTAAAAGTCACTTCCTGCAACGGAAGATCGACGTCCTTTTGTTTTCCCTTATCTACTAAAAATCTTAGTCACCCTGGGAATTGTCAACCCCTCGATAAATCCCCTTTTTCCGCTGGCGTCTAATTACAGAACGATTCCGTAGCCGTAGTTCTGTTTTTTACCGCGAGATGTCGCTACTTCATAACGTCAAGAAGCTGGACAAGCATAATTCTGACTATAGTGTAAATACACACAGTCAGAATTAATTTATTACGAACAAAATTTGCTACTGTTCGTTTGTTGAACGTCAAATTTGTCTCTTGTCTAATGTTCAATGTTTATATTATAGCTTTAAAATATGATTATTGTTCACTATTTTTTATCAAAATATTTAAAACTAGCTGTTACCCACGACTTCGCCCACGGAGGTTTTGCAAGCAAACCTCATTTATACAGTCGACCCCCCTATAACGTGCGTTCCTATAACGGAAATTCCTATAACGTAGCGAAAAAATTGTAGCAACATTCGTATAAAGCAGCTCCTAAAACGTGGTCGCTGGCTCGTTTCGCGACAAGATTGATAGAATCTGGACCAATAGTGGATGAGCAGCCGAACTACTTTCCTCCGCCCTGCGCCACGCTACGGAGCGGCTAAATTGAGTTTGCTATCGTCTGTTTAGTATTATATATAAATTATATATAAATTAGGTACTGTACATATAATTATATATTAATTATATATAAATTA